ATACTGGTCTTTCTCCTTTGAAATGCCTTTGCTATACTATCAAATATAATTAACTATGTGTAGGGTTCCAGTTTCAGAAAATAACTGAATACATATTTTTGTGTCCCACTGAACTTGATTTTAAATTTAGACAGAAGATATAGATACTTATTTGCTATTGGATATCTTCTTCCTCATGACTGCAACAACCTTTCAGTTTGAGTGGAATGAAACTTTCACCAGCTTTGTGACGGGCTAAAACCATTTAGTGCATCTTCAGTGATTGATGAGGAGTGGTCATGAGTACTAGTGTGTGATATAAAGCCTGGGACTGCTGCATTCTTTTACATTTCTAAGAGGAACAAAAGTGTGAGACTAAAGCCAATAATGCACAGTAGAGTGTGTAGTCCAGAGAATTAGAGATAAATGTAGCTAGGGCCCTGACCAGACCAAATCTTATTCTTTCTTGGAACTTTGGAGAGTGTCTTAGTTTGCCATAAAAAATATTACAGATAATGTGGGTTAGACAACAGAAATTTATTTTGCCATTTTAGAGGCTGCCAAAATCATTGAATTTTGGAGAAAATAAAAAAAATCTCTTCTTGGCCTGAAAATAGCTGCTTCCTGACTGTGTGTTCACATGGTATTTTCTTTAGGGATGTGGAAGGTAAAGGAGAGTGTGCAAGCTCTCTAGAGTCTCTTTTTATAAGAACCCTGATCCTATTACATTAAGGCCCTACCTGCATTGATTTCATTTAAACTTAATTACCTCCTGAAGGCATTTAACTTCAAATACAGTCACATTAACGATTACTTCAATATATGAATCTGAGAGGAGTAACTATTCAGTTTATACCAGGGATATTTAGTGCCAATATAATTTATCCCAGTTCCAGTTAGGTTTCTGGTTACTTGCATTTGTAATCATCTTAATGTTATATTCTAAGGTATTTAAGATGAGTAATCTTTATCTATAATGTTTCATACCAGAAATGTTTCAAATTTTAGACGTTTGATTTTAGATTATACATAATATGTTGGGGCATGAGAGGACAGACAGCCAAAGTGCTGACCCCGAGTCCCGGAATGCTGGTTCTCACCGGGGCACAGGCGTCCCAAAGATGATGTGCTGGAGCCAAGTCCCTTGACCTACAAACAACCCCCAATCTCTTCTTTATTCCTCTTTCCGGTTTGCACTCCCTTTTTAGTCATAAACAGATGTTGTTTCATCTAGATGTTATGTCTTTAGTTTGAACAATATATATCTGCTCATAACTGCTGTTAATCACTGCTCGTAAGTGCTGTTAATCATCAAACCACTGAGATCATGCTTGTGTGTGTGGCCTTGAAACTATGTAACACTCTGTGTCAGAAATAAACTTTGCCATTAGCCATCAGCTCTTGGTCATTCATTGTGTCCGCGGGTCCCCTCCTCTAGAAGGAGACCTCAACAATAGTATATCTATATTGTCTATATCTATATCTACATCTACATTTATATCTATATCTTGGGAACGGAACCCAAGCCTATGTTTCATATACAGGTTATCACAGAATGTGAATCTAATTTTATTCAGTGTGTTTAGTGCACCTGCATTTTGACTGTAACCCATTACCTGAAATTTTCCACTTGTAGCCGCATGTCAACACTGAAAAAAGTTTAGATTTTCGAATATTGAAGATTTCAAATTACAAATCTAAATCTCTGTCAACTACTGATTAACAATTTAAAATTCCATGCTGATTTAGCTATTTCTCCATGGTCATGCACAGGGCTTTGTTATACCAAAGAGCAACAGGCAATAAAAGCTTTTCTACAATGGAAAAAGAAGACCTGAAACAAAGCAGTGAAAATTCATTTTTCTCTGACAAACTTGTCACAAAACCAAACTAAAAGATACTGTTATAATATTTGATGTTAACCATTAAAACTTTTGGTTTAAGAGATATGGTAGAGAAAAGCTAATTGGATGAGATAACCCCAGAAACCTTTCTCGTGAAGACCAGTAGGCAAAAAGGAGCACATAGAAGCAAAGAGTGGTATGTAGAGAAATGCAACACATGGTTATCTCAGAAATTCAGGTGGTAGAAATTCTCTTATTCTTCTATTTTCTAGGATGCTAATCAAGACTAGGATCTTCAAGTTGCTACCTAAAAATGAGTGTAACTTTTTAACTGTGCCAGTTAAATTTAGCAAGCTGTTTTTGTTTGGTTTGTTTTTTAATTATGCACATGTTCTTAATATACCAGCATTTACTTTTATTGATTTTTAATTTTTTTTTAGTTTTTGAGTCAGGGTTTTACTGTGTAATTCAGGCAGGCTTTGAACTCACTTTGTAGCCCAGGCTGGCCTCAAACTCACAGCAATCCTCCTGCCTCAGCCTCCCAAGTGTTAGGATTACGGGTGTGCACCACCACTCCCAACTACTTTTACTTTGATATTTAAAAAGAGACTTAAATTCTTCACAGTATAATTTCTCAGAAGCCAAGAATATATTTATAAAGTATTATTTTCATAGAAGTATAATAATTCCAAATATCACATTTTATATAAAAAAAGATACTCAACACATTCCTTTCATTTAACAAAAGTTTATTGACAACAACTATGTGCTAGATACTGAGATATAATTTATTGAATTTTAAATGTTTATGAGATTATTAGAATATTATTTAGAAAAAAATTTTAAAATTGATGTATCCACCAGTTTGTTTATGTTCTCTCTATTACTTTTACAGGTTATCTCATAGGAATAAGTATAGAAAGCATTTGATTCAAACCAAAATAGAATATATCTCCTGTTTCAAAGAAAGTAAAATTATGAAGACTGCATATTTTTAATGCTGTTGTGAATTATTGTAGAAAAGATACTTTTCACTTGAGTCACAGAATTTAGATGAGAAAGAATTGAACCTTGCCATGGGGAAATTCATTGTCTTTATCACTTCAACTGAATATTTATCATGTAATATTTTGAAGAAAATATTATGAATCATCAAATTACATATTGTTACTTAGACTAAATTTATTTTTCAATATAAATGAATTTTGTAGATATGTTATTGTCTACTGTAGACATTTTTAAATAGTTGATGGGATGTGATTAAGTCTGATTGAGTGGAAGGAATGTGAAATTGAATGTGTGTTTCATTTTAGCTTTTAAAGAACTGGTGAAACTGTGAGGAAAAAGAAGACAACTTGTAACTTAAAGTGTTAAAATATGGGACATATACTGAAACTCCCCATAACTCAATTTTCATATTTTTCAATGAGCACATGACAGTGTACATAGTATATCATTTATGATTATGGTAATTAGAGATAATTCATATAAAACTCTCAGGATAGTACTTGGTACATGTTATTTAGTAGATGTCAGTTGCTTTTATTATTATAAATATCACTTTTTATTTTTTTAATTAAGTTTATTGGTACATTTTAGGAATACAATACAGTTACATTCATCACTGGGCTCTTGTACCTTTATACGACAGGTCTTGGTTCTTATTTTTCCCATTCCCCAGCCCTCCCTTCACCCTCTCCACCATTCCCTGTATACATTATTTCCATGTTTTTCCTTTTCTTTTTTTTTTCCTCATGAGTTTATTGGTGCATTTTAGGTATACAGTACAGTTATATTCATTATTGAGATCTTGTACCTTTACATGACAGATCTTAAATGTTATTGATGATTCGGTTTAGGCATGCTAAGTTTATATCTTCTATGCTAAAATTTTTAAGGATATGATATTATGATTGGAATACAGATAAATAAATGAATAAATCCTCAGTCTATATTTAAAGTGTCAATTCTTTTTTTTTTTTTTTTTTTGGTACCAGGCATTGAACTTGGGTCCTTGCGCTTGCAAAGCAGGCCACCGAACCGCTGAGCTAAATCCATGGCCCTAAAGTGTCAATTCTTAGTAGCATATTTTTTAAACACTTACAGTGTTTATCTGGGCATAACAAGAAAAGTGTAACCACTATCAATTGAGACTATACCAGAATTTCTCACATTAAGCCTTATTTGAGGTGACAATGTCTCCGTAGTTGGGGAATTGACCTGTATACTCTAGGATATTTTGTAAATATGCCACTATCTGTGCCTTGAATGGTAGCATCAGAAATATCTCCAGAAATTAGCAAATGTCTCCTGTAGGACAAAAGCAGTGAATCCTGTAGGCTTTTCTAATTATATATTCTGTAAATATATAGAGAAGTTTTAGTGGGTATCAGACTGATTCAGTTTTTACCCAGAAAACACAAGTGACATAAATTGATAAAAGAAAATGTCTGTCATTTGAAATAATTAAAACTGACCTGTGAATCAGGAATTTCTCAGCTAAAATGAGTATTTTATTAAGTGTCTAATCCTTGCGAAAGTTGTATATCAGCACTTTCTTTCCTGGGACTGTGTTTGAACTAAATGATAAGATGCTGCAGGTCTAACGATACAGATTTAGAAATCATTCCAGTGAGATCATAATTGAAGCCATGAGTATTACTGAGCTGTCTTTCCTAGAGCAAGGAAAGAGCATAGTTATCTATGAACTGAGGTTTATAAAACGTCCATAATTTTAAAAAGGGATCCTGGAATGTAATCTACCTTTATTATCTTATATTGGGTCAGAAAGCATGAAGAAAAATCAAAATTAGTTTTCAGAAAAAAGTAGTTTTAACAATTGTTGGCACTGTCAAATGAAAAATAAGTTTGTTGATAGGAAAAAATTGTTTTTTTTGGGGGAAGTTTTGGTAAATTCAGTTGCAAAGATTTCTAAGGAAAGTGTTCTCTCGTGTTGAATATTGTATAAATATTAAGTATTAGTAGTATTAATATATTCATTAGTATATAAAGAGATGCCACATTAAAATGAATTAAAATACATTGCATAAATTTTCTTTTTGAAATATTTACCACGACAAATTGATTACTTCTATTTATTTTAATTTTCCATATATACATTTCATTGCATATTTCAAAGGTGTTTTGAGCAAAAACAATTTCTGCTTTTCTTTCCAGTTGTTTCTTGTCCTTGTTATTGGTGGCTGCTGTGGTATGGAAGATCAAACAAACCTGTTGGGCTTCTCGGCGGAGAGAGGTACAGTGTCAATAATACTATTTAATCTTTTGTTTAAAGGTTTGAGGAAATAGGCCACTCTTGTTTAACTTATATGCTCCTTTCAAGTAAAATTGAAGTAATTATTTCTTCTTAATATTGAACAATCTAATATTTTTAAAGCTTCAGATTATGCTGTCACTGTCATTCTGTCAGCAACTATAGAAGAATTGTGGTTTTAAAAAATAGTATAAAAATCAGTACAGAGTGCTAATATTATGCTACCTAATTTGTAATATCTTTTGTGTAGTTTGCTATGATATAAATTTATTTTTTGTTAATATATTTGCAATTTAAAAGACAATTCTAAGTGATAAAAATTTACTTTTAACTTTAGATAATACATTTTCTAGAAACTTACTATAGCATTCTTTTGGGGGGGTTAATAAAATATTTTCTATTTCTTGAATATCTGATAATCCAATTATATTTAAACAGCACAATAATTTATGCATGTCTTTATGACCATTAATTGTAATGTTACTGATAATATTAAAATAAATAAAAACAATACTTTAGTAATGCTAGAGTAACAATTGACAATTTAATCATATTACATAAATATAATTTGTTAATTTTAATATATTAATGAACTGAAAGCAACCAGGAAACTTTGTCCTCTGAGGAGAAAAATATCCAGTAAATATATTATTTCATACTTCCTATAATAAAAAACTACTTTCTGTTTTTATTAGAATTCAATTATTATATTCTATTAGTATTATAACAGTATCATAGTATTATTTTGCTGTTACATTTCCTGATATATTTCAGTATGATTTTCTTCATATAAAAAGATAATACTTAAAAATATTTTAAATTGTGTTATTTTAAGGTGTCACATTAGTGGCATAAATTCTTCTTAATTATCCTCCTATTTTCAAGTAACTATCCATAGCAAGTACCTTCTTATATTAATAAATCTGAGATTCTCCCCACCTAAATAAATCATTCAACTTAATATTTTTGCCTCTATAATTTTTGCATGTGGCTAGTACAATATCAATGAGAAATTATTGAAACAGCCCCAAAATTAACAGTAATCCAATCAAAAAGGAGCTTATTGAATATGAATATATACATGTTTGGTAAGCAGTGAAATTCTATATGGATGTTAATGTCCAGACAATTTAGATGACCTATGGTATTCAAGTTATAGTCCTTACTTACACTTACTTACTTACTTACACTAGAAACTATTTGGTATTTATGTACAAATAAAGTTAATAAAAACAAAGTATATATTAAAGAAGGAAAAAAATACCACATAATTTTAGGTAGGCAGTTGGAAGACCTTCTATAATGTGATAGAGCTGGTGACAATTTAATGTCCCATCTGTTAGAAAAGAAGTCAAGATCGATAGCCTGTGTTCTTTCTGCATATGACAAGTGGTGTTTAAGTATCTTATCTCTAAAATGTATAAAATGCAACTCTGTTAATATACATTGTGAAAACAAAAATGTATTACTTCGTCATTAGCTAGTATCTGAATGTGACAAAGTGGCCCATTTGAATTTGTGCTATATTACTAATTTCTTGTTTTGGGTCTTAGATCCCTAGAAATGTTTACACATAGTAACTACATTTATAAACAATGTAAATATTAAAATTTGAAAAACTACTATGCGTAGTCCACTTACCTATCAAACTTTCATGTTGATAAAAATGATAAGTTGATTTTGGTTATGATTATATCACCTAGTGTAGCCAAATGCTATTTATTGCATACTAATCAGATACTCTGTCAAACTGATACTACTTTAAAGTATGAAAATAAATTTATCATTGAACTGGAGGTTAAAATCTTTTAACATATGTGGTATACATGGAAAGTAATTCAAGAAATAGTAAAGAAAATTGGGCCACTGCCAGAGCAGTACTCCGTTCTTGTAAATATTACCATGTTCTCTGGATATAATCTCAGTATAATGCTCCATTATACAAAGTTCATCTAGGTAGTGCTTCTTTTTTGCTACAGAAAATAAGAATGCTTGCATTTGATTTGCTAACCTCTACCAAATCACAGCATTTATGTAGTCAGAGTTCATGTTATGCTACAGTATATGCTGAAGAAAGGATTTTGAGGAATTTTTGTAATATAATGTCACTAATTCCTTTAGATAAAATCTCTAAATATATTAGAAACTATTCAAATATTAAAGTCAAAAGTGAAGATAGCATTGTCTTTTTCTACTATCAGATTTGTTATTAAATAATTTTCATATTCTTAAGGATTATTTCTAATTTTTTGAGCTCCAGAGATAATACTTACTTGTAGTATTAGAAGACTTTTTCATTTTGTTCTTTTGAGCCCCAAAGAGTTTTTAAATACACTAATTTTAGTTTTTATAATGTTACAGACTTTAAGTGGAGGTCAAAATGTATTTTTGTCTAAGCTTATCTTGAACCAATTTTAACTATTTAATAAACTGGAATATTCCCCAAGTCTGGAAGCTAGTATTTTTTCTCTTTGTGGCTGTAGTACTTGTTTGCTAAAAGTATCTAAGATGATTCATTTAAAGCTCAGAAAACATATGTGATTAATAGAATGAATGACAATTTGTCTTTAAAAGTAAATTCAAATTATTTATAGATTTTTCCTTAGAATTTCTCTAATTTCGTTATAGCAATTATAATGTTTGCTTTTCAAAGTGCAAGGATTGTTTTAAGATGAAACAAATGTTTGGAAATTGTATGAATATTTGATGTTAATTCTACCAAGTATATAGCTTTTTAACTTTTAGTTCTCATTAGTAGATGTACCCCCAAAGCCTCATGTGCTCATAGGTGTGGCTTTTGAAAAGTGATTTAGTGATGGGGCTGCTGTGATAAATGTGATGTTAGGACCTGGGGTCAGGTCAGAGGGACAGGTCAATGAGGGTGCAACAAAGGTGTGTGTTCCCTCCCCTGCTTCTCCCTTCCTTCTCTGCTTCCTAAGTGTGACATGAGCAACTTTCCTCCTGCCATTCCCTTCCAGCATGCATGGACAGTACAAGTACTGAAACTTCTGAAACATTTGGAGCAAGCATATATTACAAAAGTCTTTCAAAATATTGTCATGTTATTTTAAAAATGAAATTACATTTTTAATAAATATTATAAGACACAAACACATCTAGGTGTAAATGAAGATATTTAAAAATGCTTGTGTTAAGAAAATACCCAAGAAAGACTGAACTTGTGTTCAAGATGTTCTACTTTGATACATATTTCATAATAATGCAGTGTAAAACCTATGTTTAGATTCGTCATTATCAACTTGAAGTTTGAGTTAAAAGTAACATACTATAACTGTAAGTTGGGTTCTACCAGCTTTGAGTAACTCTTTTTCTTTGGCAAGCACCCTAATTCTTTTTTCTATGCCTGTTTCATGAGCGCAAAAGCAGTGAAGAAGTAATGCTATCATTTTTCCCTTTCCTTGATTATTGCTTAATGATAATACAGATTAATGTGCTTCATTTGTACAAAACATACATGTTTTAATCTCACAGTAATTTCCCTTTCCCACTCTCCCTCTTACTTTTACATTTTGGGGAGGTTTTTACTATGTGTAATGTATTTTGATCATATTCATTCTATCTATTATCTATCCTAATACTTTATTAACAACATTTCATGCAGAAACAATGCTAAAACAGCCTAGGAAGTGTTAAATTTTCAGTTAAAAGGTTTGCGTCTAAATATTATTAATAAAATATAGCAGTGCTTTACAAATTGAGCTAGTCTGCCTTCTCAAAACATTTACAGAGAATATTTGGAATAGAGTACATGGGAGACATTAAAAGCAGTTGACTAGGTACTCAATGCAACTTTTGGTAGACTATCATAGTACTTAAAACCTGTATTTTGTATTATATTTATAAATTCTAATATATAAAGTTTCCCATGAAAGATATGGATTTTTTTTATCATTACCAAATACTACATTCAAATAAATGTCTCTTTAGTTAATAGCTTCAATTTCAACTTTTTCTTATCACTGGCTTTTATGGAAATGCAAACTACAACAGTTACCATTGTATTAATGTTTTTATTTTATTCTGTGATAGAAATTGCAAACACTCAGCATATTTAGTTATAGTTTTACAATTATCTTAAATACACTTAAATTATATTGAGATTCACATATGTACAAGAGACATAGGAGTTGAAAGTTAACAATTTTTTTCACATGTAAATCTGTTCTCTTATAGCATTTCCATTTTGCTTAATTCAACAATAGTATATTTATCCTTTCCTATATTCCAGTCAATTTTATAAACATCAAAAACATGAAGAAAAATACATAGGCTCAAGTGTTAGGGAATTCATAGCTTTACAGTATTTTCAGTTGGAGAAAGACTCACATGCATAAGGTGTGGGGTAGCACTGGGGTTGTTGTAGTGCGGCCATCTACAAGTGGTATGGGTATGTAAAAAAACTTCTGGACATTATATTAGTCACAGAAGGCAAGATTAGTAATGCAAGTAAACGGGAAATGTTACATAATTATCCAAAAACATTATTTGTAAAAATAAAAGCCAAAACTTGTAAAATTGTTTTTACTATATATACAATATGAAAATTTTGCCTGAAATCATATTTTAAGATCCTTGATCATTACCTTTACTTTTAGACCCTATTACTTATATATATATATGTATATATATATATATATATATACATATATATATATAAGTAATAGGGTCTAAAAG